TATTAGAGTCTAAAAATAATAATTTTAAGTATAAAAGCTATTTTTATGACAAATATAAATTTAAGTATTAAAAGATAAAAAAAATATAGTTAGACGACTAACTGTTCTCTAACAGAATAAGAAGTTTTCCGTTAGCTTTGACCAAGTAGATGAAATTGAAATGAATCTGAAAGTTAATAGACCACTTAGAAATAAAACATAGTTTCTAAACTAAAATGAAATCAAGGTGATAGTTAATAGACTAAAAATTGAATTAAGCCCTAATTACAGTATCTTTAATTATTTTATACAAATTTTCACATGAAACTTAATTAAAATAGTCCAACACTAAATGGTCTAATGGCCATACCCCTTTGAGGAATGGTGTCAGAACATGAAATCATAGGTTTACACTTAGGTACTACTAATTTTCCATTCTCAAAAATTTCTTAAGTTTGAAGAAAACTTAATTAAAATAAAATCTAAAATTCAAAATTAAAATAATATAAATATTTGTAATTAGAATTTGTAAAAGAGTATGAATATATTATAAAAATGTATATAAAATTAATTATAAATATTACAATTAATAAGATTTAACTTATACTGTAAAATACAAATTAGATAAATCTTAAAAAAATAAAATATAAAGTCATAATTATAAACTAAGAATATGCTAAATTAAAAATAAACTCAAAAAATAAAATTTAATTTAAACTTAATGACTTTCTTAATCTTATATTATTGACAAATTCTTATTAGTTTTAATTTAATTTTTAAAAAGTACCCAAAAAAATTGTCAAAAGCGTTCTAGAAGATCTCCAAATTCTCCTTTTGAATGAATAAGTATTTATAGAATTTTAGAAAATATAACTTAAATAAAAATGAGATCCCTATCAAAATGATAACGACTCGATGTCAACTTGCTGAAAATTACCAAAGCGTGGACACCCCTGCCGAAGTGGCGACACCTTAACCTAAATCCGTCAAACGAAGTTCGCGTCGGACTTGGGGGCCAAAATGCAATTCTGCTTAATGGAAAAATGACAGTACTGGTCCATAGCTTCTTGTTTCTGCTCAATTAATCCTTAGGTTTCTAATCTTTGCATCTTGGTCCTAAAAATTACGATTTTTTCTAGTTAAGTATTTCCTAGACAAATAATGAAAATTATGTATAATCAAGTAAAATATGATAAAATTCATTTTGATATCAATAATATAAACTAAAAATTTTACATTAATATTTATAAAATTCAAACCTATCAAACTGTTTATGATATTTACAATAGAATAACCTCCAAATAACACCAATCTTACAAATAGGAAAGAAAAATGGAAATCTTATCAAATTGTCACAAATCATTCACTCCACATCATCATCATCAATGGATATCATATGCTCATAAAAATAAATAAAAAATAAAAAGATAAAGAAGAGGAAGTTGAACAACTAGGCAAGCCTAACAGAAGTTCCACCCAGCGTCAATTGGATACAAGCTGGAGCTGTCACTAGTGTTCAAAATCAGGGTGATTACTGTAAAAAAATCATGAAATTTCCAATTCCCAAAAGTTCCTTCTTGATGCTATCTTATGTCTTTTCTTAAGTTGATTTTACTGTTCTATAACCTTATAGATTGTTGCTGGGCATTTTCTGCTGTTGCTGCTATGGAAGGGATCATCCAGATTAAGACAGGTAACCTGATTTCACTATCTGAATGGCAGCTTGTGGATTGTGTGAACAGAAATGATGGCTGTAGTGGTGGCTAGATGGATAATGCATTTCACTACATTGTACAAAATCAAGGAATTACTACTGATGCAAATTATCTGTAAAAAGCAACATGTTGGAGCTGTGGTGTCAAAGCTGCACAAGAGGCAGCAAATGGAAAGAAAGCTGCACAGGTAGCAGCAAAATGAAATGAAGGGAGAGCTTCACCAAACACGATAGGAGAAGAGTGCAGCAAGCTATGCTGCAAATGTTGATGAAATGAGGCTGTAATGAAATGCAAATGAAATGCAAATGAGGCTGCAGAGTAGTAGCAAGTACAGTCACATGAAGCTGCACAAGTGGTAGCAAGTCTTTTAATGTAATCTTGCATTAAATGTATTAAATAAGTATTAGGTGAGAAAATTACATTTATGTACTATGAAGTTTCTGCTATATAATGGCAGAAAATGAATGAAAAAAATGAGTTTTCCCCTCAACAAACTCAGAGGGAACTCCGGGTGGCTCTCTCCTTCTCCACCAAGTCCCTTCTTTTTCTCAAAAAATCCCAACACAACAGATAAAAAATGTGATCCTAAGAAGGCAACTGTGTCAACTATTACAATCCATGGTTATGAAGATGTTCCTACAAACAATGAGGCGGCCTTGTTAAAGGTTGTGAGCAAGCAAGCAACCCGTCTCAGTTTGTCTTGAAGGTGCAAGTAAAGACTTCCAATTCTACTCGAGGAATCTTTACTGGAAAATGTGGGACTTGCCTGAACCATGTGGTTACTATACTAGGGTACGGGACAAGTGAAGATGGCACAAAGTATTGGCTGGCCAAGAACTCGTGGCGTGACAATTGGGGTGAGAAGGGTTACCTAAGGATTTTGAGAGGCATCGATGCTCCTGAAGGTCTCTGCAATATTGCCAAAAAGGCTTCTTATATATCTAATTGCATGAGCACCACCTAATTTCACTTGAGCATTGGCATATTCTTGTTACTTTACTCTTAATTAAGCGTTTGAATGTTCTTCTAAAAGTATATATTGTTATGAGTTCAATAATAAGATCACATCAATATTATAGTTAAATGGAGTCATGACGAATTACTTTTTCTTTTCTCTTTTTAATTTCTCAAGAAATTAAACAATAAGGTGAAGAGTGAAAAACGGTGCCAAATAAGTTAACTTTCAAGATTGTGATTGAAGTTTCCTATCAACATCCTTTCCTAAAGTATTATCACAAGAAAATAAGCCACTATTGTTTTTGGCATTAGAAACTTTACAACTCAAACTATCTCTCCAGCGCTTATATCATGAAATTAGGTGAGTGAGAAGGATAAATGCTAAGTAAAAGATATATATTATCACAAGAATTTGACGCACAGAATAAATGAGAGTTAAATTCCAAGCATAACTAAGGAGGATAGAATTTCAAATTTTTTAACTAGATTTCAAGATTCTCATGAATTTAAATTTGAATGCATCAATATCTTAATTTCTCCAGTTCTCAAACTTCACAAAGACTTAGTAATGTCAACTGAAGAATTTGTAAACCTTCCTAGCCTTATATTAATGCGAGGACATACGGTAGTGCAAAGGAATATTTCCTTGTCGGAGGGCTAGATTAATAAAGACTCATGGTTGGTGAATGAAATCATTTTTCCAAAAATTAAAGGGTAGTTCAAAAGTGTTTTAACTAATAAGAGTTTAAGACTTTAACTTAAAATTCTTAAATTCAAACTTGATACAGATAAAGAGAGATTTAAGGATGAGAAAGGCTATTTTCTATTACTACATAACCTATACATGAGATATCAAAAAAATTTAAGAACTGTCAGTTTTAATTTCCAATCAACTACAGGCTACGGCCAGGCCTCAGCAGCATGCAATTAGAGCTTTGAACGTGGAGTAGAGGGCTGAAATTGAAAACAGAACTATACTGTTTAATTGTTATCCCAACTAACAAAGCCCAAAAGTCCAGGATAATACCAAGGCCTATAAAGATGCCCAAGAAGACAATGTACTAGAAGTTTGGAAGGACCAATCTCAAACTGCGCATGTCCAAGTCCAACACGCTTATGCTTCTTTCATTTTCTTCATTTCCCAAAGCGAACCTTCTTCCAAGTTGCTTTAGCCCTATCGTCTCTTTTTATTTCCCTGGATTGTCTTACAAGTTAGGATTCGTGAAAAACAACGGGGAACTATTAATCTTGTCTTGTTTAGAAATTTATTCACAGAGAAACATATGAGAAAGCAAGCTATGTATTGCGGAAAGGATGAGGAATGCATTAGCCGTGACATGCGCATAAAAAAACATCCTAAAAAGGAGGGAGAATTGCAGTCACATGGAAGATCAATGACCTGCTCTCCAGTCACTCCGTAGACCGGCAACATAAGCTTAAAAAATTAATTACACTTCAGAAGTTTGGGAGCATAATTTTGCCGAGAACAGCGGGAGTTGGGTCCCTTCCCATCCCAACCCCAATGCACCTTCTTCTATATATACCGGAGATCAATGCAGCTTTCTTCACAGCTAGCTTTCAGTTTGTGTAACACATTGTTAGCTAAGAGAAGCATTTAATCTGCTAACGATGGCTCTGATACTCAAAATAAATTTCCTCATTCCCACGTTAATGATTGTGGTAGGGTGTTGGGCATTGCAAACAACCTCCCGCATATTGCCTGAAGCTGACATTGCTGAGAAACACCAGTCCTGGATGTCTCAGTTTGGCCGAATTTATCCAACCAGTGCAGAGAAGGAGCTGCGACTTAAGATTTTCAAGGACAACTTGGAGTTCATTGAGAAATTCAACAGTAAAGGAAACCGTACCTTCAAGCTTGGTCTCAATCAATTTTCCGACTTAACCAATGAAGAATTCAAGGCCTTATACACCGGATACAAAATCCCCCCCAACTCAGACTCATCCAAAACCACAGCATTTAGGCATGAAAGCGTCACGGATACTCCATCGAGCAAGGACTGGACTAAGGAAGGAGCTGTTAACAGCATCAAGGACCAGGGTCAATGTGGTAAGAATCTAAACTGAATAATGAATTCTGTAGCTTACTCTTTACATCAACATTTACTAACCAGAATTCTTTAACTGGCGTAGGATGCTGCTGGGCATTTTCAGCTGTGGCAGCTGTAGAAGGGATCACAAAGATAAAGAGTGGTCAACTGCCTTCTTTGTCCGAGCAACAGCTGGTTGACTGTGTTGAAGACAACCAAGGCTGCAAAGGCGGTTGGATGACTACTGCTTTTGGGTACATCAGGGATAACCAAGGAATAGCTAGTGAGGAGAGTTATCCTTACGAGGCAATGGATGGAACCTGTCGAGCGGAGAGTGCCACAGCAGCTGCCAGCATCAGTAGTTTCGAAGAAGTAACTCCCAATGATGAAGAGGCATTATTAAAGGCTGTAAGCCAGCAGCCTGTCTCTATTGCCATAGAAGGCAGTGGGTCTTATTTCAAGAACTATCAGACTGGCGTTTTCACTGGAGAATGTGGCAATGATCTAGCCCATGCTGTTACACTTGTCGGGTATGGGACTACCGAAGATGGTACCAAGTACTGGTTGATCAGGAATTCATGGGGAGAAAGTTGGGGAGAGAATGGCTACATGAGGATTCAGAGGGATGCTGGAGTCTCAGGAGGACTCTGTGGCCTTGCAATGAAACCATCCTATCCGGTTGCTTAAGCAGCATTGAGGTTTAAATAAATTTCTTGAACTACCCTATAACACAGTGTGTTCCTTTTACATTTCTAAGCATACTTGGTTATGAAAATGCTAAGGAACTTAACTATCCTATAGTTTAGCGCTTTCCTTCCATATGTAAGCGTACTTGGTTTAAAAAATGCCAGTGTGCTTGTTATCCTACCTGTATTCAATCTAAAATTTGATAAGCTTATTGATAAATTTGAATTACAAAGAAACAACATCTCTTATTGATAAATTTGAATTGCAAAGAAACAACATCTCTTATTGATAAATTTGAAATACTAAGTAAGAAACAACATCTCTTGAACAAACTTCAAGCAGGGAAAAAGGTGAAGATCATTTAAAGGCTAAATGCTACATTCACAACAAGAACTGTTCACAACATCTGCAACAGAAGGACCTCTAAATAACACCAATCTTACAATCAGGAAAGAAAAATGGAAATCTTATCATATGCTCATAAAAAAATAAAAAAAAAGTCAGAGGATAAAGAAGAGGAAGTTAAACAACTAGGCGAGCCTTCTGCTACAAAGGGTAGGACAAGGAGCCAATCATCTGCAGGAACATAATAATTTCACCATCACCCTTCCAACTTTAACAAGGAGTTAAGATCAGTTCATAACTTATTACTTTTATAGATTGTTGTCGATGCTTAAGAGCGAGAAGTGAGAACAGCTATAATGAACACAAGGACAGAAAAAGGTTGAATATAATCATTGTGAATTTCAATTAAAACAATTGCACAGAGGAAGCAGAAAAAAGAGAATGTGATCAAGTTCGCCTAAATCATTTACTGAATATCAATTAATATTACATTTACCAACTGTACCTGAATAAAAGAAATAGTTAGGCACGTTTCCCTCTATTTGGATAGGACTTTGGGCAAAGGACCCATCGACCCTTGGCACGTCCACGCTTCAAGATGGCTCTTCCACTAGTTGTTCTCATTCTTTTGCGGAATCCATGAGTACGAGCCAAAGACTTCCGAGACCTATTCCTCTTGGTTTGACAAAGGGCAGCCTTCCCAGCCCTCACCACCAGGCCATTACCCCTTTTCTTCTTCATCCCAATATCTGAATTAAAATCCAAGCCAAAGGATAGCCCTGCCCAAACTCCAAAGAACAATAAAAAACAACACTTGAGCAAGCCCTGAAACTCAAATAAAACTTGATGCATAATCAACTAAAACATGAAGAGGGCAAATGATGATCAAAATCTAATGCAGCCCCAGTATAGGCATAAAAAAATAGTTTAATTGTAAATCACTCTAGCAGCACTTAAAAGCTACCGCATGTTTTACGAGGAAGATATTAGCCACAGTAGAAGTGAATCTGCTTGCCAAGAACAAAGGGGGAACGTTGTCAAAATCAGCCCTTTAAAACAGGTTATACCAAAGTACCTTTTCCAAGACTTCTAATTCTTCTATATTTTTGTTATGTCTTAGTAGCAAGAAAGAAATGTCATTGAACATTGTTCAAAAAGCATATTGATCAAATAACAATTATCATTATTGTAAAAACTCCACAAACGGATAACTTTGCCATTAACAATGAGTTTCTGGGATGAAAATTGGTCCTTGATAATAAGGGGGTAAATTCCAACATACCATAAATATAAATGGATATAATTGGTACCATACAGCCCAACAAAACAGCTACTATAGTTTTCAACTATCTACCATTTCAGACACAGCATTACTTGGTTAGCATCACGGAAGTACTTTCACTAATCATTTAAATGAGAACATAAACACAATCAATAACTGAAAAAAAAAAAAAAAAAAAACAACAACAACAACAACCCTACAAGCCCAAATTCAAACCCACACTCACAAATGTGAAATCCAAAATCGATACCTGAAAAGGAAGAGGCGAGGGAGGAAGAAGATGTGGAAGAAGGGAGAAAGGAACAGTGAAGCAACGCGGGGCGAGCTGCGGTAATGTTAGCCGCATTCACAGACAGAGAGCTTCTTGTTCTAGACCCAGAGGGAAGAGTGCAAGAAGCTGAAGGAAATTGGGTTCTTACGGATTTCCTCGTAAGCCATGGCGGTGAAGTTATCAGCGACATCGAAGCCATTTTGGGTACTGTGTCTTCCTCCTCTCCCCTCTCTCCTCTCTCGATGGTCTTGTCCTCAAAAAGGCCGTAGCAGGTTGCCTTCATACGGATACGGATTACGGTGTACTAGGCCTTAGGGAACTGGGTTAGGTCTGAGTTTGGGCTATTGAATGAATTGGAGCCCAATGAAGAGATCCATGGGGTCATCAATATTCAATTGTGGTATTCAATTTACGCCCAAAGTCTTTTTTTTTTTTTAAGGAAAATTTAAGCCCAAAGTCTTAAATTCCACGAAATCTGCTGCAATGATATTTTCTCAAGTGCAAAATAGTTGTCACTTTCATAATACCTTACCGTATTCAGGAAAACGATTGTTAGACAATATTTATTGAAAATAAAATCTTACAATATGACATGATGTATTGATTTGGGTTAAATTTACAAATTAATATGCGTTTACTTATTTGATGTATAAGTTTTGAAATGTAAAATAAAATTTCATTATGAGAATTGTTTTTATTTAGTATATGAATATGATAATTTGAATAGTAATATTTTAAGCAACCCTTTAAATCAGGTAATTCACCCAAAAAGAAAAATAAAAATAAAACCATCGTGCACAATCCATGGAGGCAGGGATTTAACAACGACAAATCATTAAAATTCATGTTTCTGCATACTTTCTTCACATCCCCTTTTTGATTTTTTCCATATCTATTCTGTTAGTGTTGCAGTTGTATTAATGTTCGATCCGCAACATGCATAACTGCATGCATTTGCCTGGATGGTTTTGGAAATCCATGCATGTTCTCCCAACTGGTTTTCTGTATGTACCCCCCAATTATTACTTAATCCGTGTGATTTATCCTCAATTCATTTTCATTTTCTTTAATTTGTAGCAGAAAGTATAAATATTGTGAATTCGTTCTCCATGGAATTGAGATTTATTGAGTGTAAGGATAGGTCCAAGGTGCTCAACCTCGGACGTACGACAGTAATTCCTTTATAATTGAAGTAAAGGATAAATCCAACACTTCCCGCTCAAGCAGCTGCATGACAGTGACAATAAGTGTGCCCCCACCTAATTCCTTATAATAAACTGCATAGCAGTCATGATGGACATTATCGTATCTGAATATCTCTCAATTTTTTGGTCCCGAAATAACCGTCTGGAGAGATACATTAGACTCCGATTATCTTGCTTGGTATGCCATGTGGGTTCCTCACTGAAGCCTATAAATACCTCCCAAGGGCCACATCAAAAAGGTAATTGAAACCATCCTAAATCTCCTTCTTCATTAGTCCAAAGATAGACCGGATTATGCTGACTTAAGCATCGGAGTGTCTATCCCGAGGACCCACCTCGGGGCTTTACAGGTTTATCTGAAGTGAAGACGTAGATTGAAGAAGGATCTCTGATTTGGTGCAATTACATTGTGCTTATTGGGTTTTCTCTCTTTGTCAGTGTTTGGGCAGCTTCACGAGACCTAATTAACCATAAGTTGATCAACATAGGGACTTGCAAAACAAACTTGAGGGTTGTCCCTCATGGTAGACCTAATTAAAATATTTCAATCAATAAAAACTTGAGATTTTAATTTAAAGTTTTTACATTCAAACCTAAAGCATATAAAGAGAGGTTTAAGGATGAGAAAGGCTATTTCTATTACCATATAACCTATACGGGAGATGTATCAAAAGAAATTTAAGAACTGTCAGTTTAATTTGCAATCAATTACAGGCCGCAGCCAGGCTTCAGCAGCATGCAATTTGATCTTTGAAGGTAGAGTAGAGGGCTGAAATTGAAAACAGAACTATACTGTTTAATCGCTATCTCAACTCACAAAGCCCAAAAGTCTAGGACAATACCAAGGCCCATAAAGATGCCCAAGAAGACAATATACTAGAAGTTTGGAAGGACTAATCTCAAACTGCGCATGTCCAAGTCCAACATGCTTATGCTTCTTTCATTTCTTCATTTCCCAAAGTCAACCTTCTTCCAAGTTGCCTTAGCCCTGCTTTGTCTTTCTATTTCCCTGGATTGTCTTACAAGTTAGGATTCGTGAAAAACAACTGGGAACTATTAATCTTGTCTTGTTTAGAAATTTATTCGCAGACAAAAATATGAGAAAGCAAGCTCTGCACTTGCGAAAGGGATGAGGAATGCGTTAGCCGTGACATGCGCATAAAAAAACATCCTAAAAACGAAGAAGAATTGCAGTCACATGGAAGATCAATGACTTGCTCTCCAGTC